AGATGAAAGTCGGAGGGAGCAAGATCTGGGCTGCAGGAAGCGGTGCAAAAGTGGCTTTGCGACCAACCGAAAATCTTCTTCTCGGAAGGAATACGCAAGCTTGTGGACGGCTAGACCAAGTGAATTGCCAAGGGAGGAGACTATGTTGAAAAATGGTGTACACATTGAACCCCTATTTTTGTGTAAATAAATTGTAGAACGAAAAGTGCAGATAATTTTTGACTCACCCTCGTTACTACCGCCATTCATTGCGCAAGGGAGGCAGAGAACTTTCGCATCGAAGGATTAAGAGTATATAATCCCGTTATAATGTATTTGGTATTATCCTCTTACATACCATAAATGCCAAGTCAATTTACGCGCGTTAGATTGCATAGAGTTTATCGATAATACATGTCGGTGAAATGTCACTAGCTGTTGCCGCAGGAACCTTTAATCAAAAGAAATACGATATTTGCTACAGGATTATACCTCTGTTCGCAGTTTAATACAGTATATGTAAAGCCCGTATCAGACTGTGAATTAAGATTGAGATTGGATTGAAATTTGACCAATCGGAGTAAAGTTTGCTAATCCCAAGTTTAGTGACTTTGACTCTAATTGGTCAAATTTCAGTCTAAACTCAATCTCAATCCGTAGTCTGATACGGGCTTAACAAAAGTTCCCGGACTCCACCACAATAGATTATTAAACTCAGCGTCTGGGAACATTTCGTTACGTACCGTAATACATTTTGGCTGTATCTAAAGTGTTGTAATATTTGATTATATGTATGTCATTCCGCAACGCAAAACTCTCGGTGCGCAAACGCATTACAGCAGATTCGATTTTAATCGGATTTTACCGTAAGTATTGTCTGAATGCGCAAAATTTCTGTCACTAATCGGTTTGCAGACTGTGCATGAAAAATAACGCACGTGTGCTGAAGAGAAGAAAAGTGAACAGAATGTTTTAAGGGGTTACAACACTCTAGAGTCCAAAGAAAAAAGCCAATCTTCGGTATTTTTTTCAGGAATATAATAAACGTAAATGAAAATCCGTTCATTCCTATTTATTCTCTATACATTGAAGTATAACAAAAAATTTTTAATGAATTTTTCCTCAACTAAATGGCGGCGCCACAGCCTTGGATCCAAAGTGTGGAAGTCGCCCCACGGGCGGAAACGAAGCTCCCTCGCCCCTTGAGCTGAAACAAAAACCAAAGATTTTTGAGAAGTATATAACATTTTCTTTCGAGCCACGTACGGATTTTGTGATAAGTTGAAAATTGTTATTTTTATAAACACTTTTGTGCGAAATTTTTTAGCGAAAAGCGCAACTTTCTTATCCAACGCGCATTATTTTTACAAAAAAAACGATATTTCGTAAAATCCGCACGTGGTTCGAGAGAAAATGTTATATATTTTTAAAAAATCTTTGGTTTTTTGTTCTAGCTCAAAGGGTGAGGAAGCTTCGTTTCCGCCCGCGAGGCGACTTCCGCAAAGAGGCACTTTGGTTCCATGGCTCTGGCGCCTCCATTTTGTTGAGGAAACATTTATTTAAAAAAATTTTATACTTCAACGTATAAACAATAAATTGGAATAGACAGATTTTCATTTATGTTTATTACATTTCTGAAAAAAATCGCCGAAAATTGCGTGTGTTAACTTTGCACCCCAACATTAATATTTCTCATATTCTGCTTTCTGTGGTCTACACTTAACATTGCTAGCTTTTCGTCGTTGCTTTCGCCATACGCGTGATCGTTCCTTATCATTCACGTGTGTCGCTCACTGACCCGGATTCCATTCTGCAAGATTGAGACGCGCAAGCAGTGTTCTCCATTTCTCCTGTCGCGAATGGAGAACGCGCGCTCCGTTTACGGTTGCAAACTAGCTGAAGCTGAAACAATTACAGTTAATACGCAATACTTTCATGCACGCTCACCGCTGTCGTATGCCTATCGCCGTTGAAACAAAACATCATAAATCTAATATCGCTCGAGAACGGAGGAAAAACTCGGCTGCACAAGGCCGAAACTTTGGTTCTATCCCTAGACGAAGCGAGAATATGTTCTTTTCCATTAGTTCGGAGTTGAAACTGGATGTCTTACAAGCGCGAGTTTTAACAAGGGAACCCGAGAATGTATGAATCAGAATTTCAGATGTCTCGGGGAGAATGTGTTTTCCAATTTGAGTTTGCTTGAGATTAATGCGTCGCAGAGCGCGAGATTGCTCTCCAGTGACGATCTAAAATCGGCGCCTGCTCCGCCGTTCAAACATCCCCGATAACTCGGAAGCTTACCTCTGTAATGTATTGTAGCCCAGCTGCACCATTTACGTCGAATATTTGAGCTTAATTTATTAAAGCTAAACTAAACAGTAGATAAAATTTAGATGACCCAAGGAGGCTCAAGTTTTTTTTTTAATCATTCTATATTTTACCCCACATTTACGATAATTATGAATAAATAAATTGAATGGTGCAATTCGCTATATACTTTGCATATATGTTCTTTTCCTGTGAACGACTGAATTGATCTAATCTGTGAGTTTTTCTAATGGACTTTTAATAACAGCGGCAAAAATGGGACACGGCTGATCGAGATCTAATGATGATTTCTCTTGACTCTTTTGCAGACATTGCATCGGACTGACTCGATGGTATCGCTTTGTTACCGATCACTCGCGGGCTACATCACAGATGATAATCTCGCCGGATTGCAGAGCTTCCTCGAAAATAAACGAGTGCCGGTCGACGATAGAGATGAGGTAAGCGCGATGAATGTGAATCGCTCGAAGAGATTTCCAAAGTTCACGGTGGTCGTCACCAGAAATTGCAGAATACCAAATTATAATAGACGATAGAAGTCTTCTCGTCGTGCAAAAGCATTTGAGGAAGAACCAAGTATAAGAATAATTTACGCTAGACAATCTTCGAGTTGTTAATAATTACAAAATTGCGAAAAAGTTCTCGTATTCGCCGCGTTTAAACCGTCCAATCTTCCTTAACAAATTATTCTCTCACAACAGAATAGTAACACCGCCCTCATCCTCGCAGCAACCAAAGGAAAGCTACACTTCGTTCGAGAGCTCGTCAATCATGGAGCGGACGTCAATGCAGAAGACGCGGTTGGTAATCCGTTTTAATCATGTATAATAAATGAAAGTCCCAATATATGCACGTTTTTGTACAATTCTTCAGGATAACTGGACGGCGTTGCTGTGCGCGGCGAAGGAAGGCCACACCGAGATCTGTCTTGAGCTACTCGAGCACGGCGCCGATTTGGAGCACCGAGACATGGTCGGGAGAAGTTGCATATTTTACTAGCCTGGCTCAATGCCATTAATGCAAATCTCTTACCAGAAACTCATATTTGCAAAAATCTGTTATTCTAATATACTCTAAATGGAACATGTTGACTTTCAATAATACTCTATACTTTAACGATTATCATATACATGTCTCGTCGACTGACTTACATTCTTCCAACACAGAAATATATAAAATTTAACAGAAGAGCTTGGCTACAAATAGAGGTACGCACGAGACGAAACAAGACGAGATTTCTGCAATCTCGATCTCAAAAGATCTGAAATGCATGATATCGATCTCGAATTTTCGAGAATCTCTTATAGCGTCATACGTGTCGTCGATCGAAAAAAATAATAAGATATATTGTTCAAATCTCGTCAAGATTTTGGTACGCTGAATCTCGATTTTGAGACGAGAGCGAGACTTTTCTCGTCTCGTGCGCATCTCTAGCTATAAATGCCCGTGTAAAAAAAAAAATTGGCCCTCTCGTGGATAAGAAGTCGAAGGATGGAAGTTGTTTTATTGCAGGGTGGTTGGACGGCGCTCATGTGGGCGACATACAAGGGTAAATCAGCAACGGTGACGATGCTGCTGGGGCGCGGGGCTGACGTCAACGCGCATGGAAATTTTCATATTTCCTCATTAGTATGGGCTGCTGGCAGGGGTTACACTGATATAGTGAAGGATCTCATTACTCACGGGGCGAAGGTCAATGTCGGCGACAAGGTAATCGTCGGCGGACGTACCGTAAATCGATGGCCGTCGCTTCGATCTCGGGATACTCATGCTCGTTAATTTTTTTTTCAGTACGGCACGACGGCACTCATATGGGCGTCGCGCAAGGGGAACGTAGAAATCGTTGATATGCTTCTTAAGGCTGGAGCCAATGTCGACACAGCAGGCATGGTAAGATCGAAAACCGTTGAAAAAATGTGGTATGGAAAAGCGATTGATTTCAAGACGATCAAATATAACGTGGTGAAAATAGAACGTCACGTATAATTATACGAGATTACGTAGGTTCCCTTCCTATTTGCATAAAGCGGTTATTATGAATAAAAGTATTTTAATACAACAAAAAATACTTGGCAACTTTTCCTATTTTAATGTTAGATTATGAAGATGTATACGTGCTTTTAATGACTTTGTTTGCAGTACTCGTGGACTGCTTTGGTCGTGGCAACCCTCGGCAACCATGTGGAGGTGGTGTCGTTACTATTGGAGCACAAGCCCAACGTGAACGCCCTAGACAAAGATGGTTGCACCGCCCTAGCGATTGCCTGTCGTGAAGGTCATCACGAAATAGCGAACGCCCTTTTAAATGCCGGTGCTTACGTTAATATTCAGGATCGAACCGGCGACACGAACCTGATCCACGCGGTCAAGGGTGGTCATCGAGGTGTGGTGGAATCACTGCTGAAAAAATACGCGGACGTCGACATCGCTGGAAAGGTACGGCTCAACTTGTTCTTCTCCGTACTCGCGTATCTTCCTCGAAGATCGACTTGGAAAAAAAAATTGTCTTTTCCACCGAGAGAGTATTGCGGTTTCCAAATATCGATCATTCCGGTAAGCTGGATTGTTGCGCCGAGTTCCACGTGGTGGAGTAAACTTGTTAAAGCAATCTAGCGATTCGAGTCGGTATTGTGGCTACTTTAATAAGAGACAGTCTTGTGGTATCGGATCCGGTCTTGTGGTATCCTTAAGCCACTTCGAGCTAGGTTCGTGCGTGACACCCCCGTGGTTACTTTCGATTCGTTCCAGTCAAACTAACCATCCCATCCGTATATATTTTAGGATAAAAAAACCGCAACTTACATAGCAGTAGAGAAAGGCAATATACAGATACTCAAATTATTACTAAACGCTAACCCAGACCTGGAGATTGCCACGAAAGACGGCGACACGCCTTTATTACGGGCGGTGAGGTCGCGTAACGCCGAAATCGTGCAATTGCTTTTAGACAAGAAAGCCAAGGTCTCGGCTACGGACAAGAAGGGCGACACTGTACTGCACATAGCGATGCGCGCGCGATCGAAAGCGATCGTCGAGATACTACTGAGGAATCCAAAGAATAGCCAGTTATTGTACCGTCCGAATAGACAAGGCGAGACCCCCTACAACATCGACGTCAATCATCCTAAGACGATGCTCGGCCAGATATTCGGTGCTCGTAAGTTAATCAGACGCGTGCCCATTATTCGCGTTATTATTGGTAACTCTACTTACGACGTGTGAAGAACCACACGTTTTAATGCATCTTACGGAATAATTTGATAACGTTACAGGGCGCTTAAATACTAACGAGGACAATGAAAACATGCTTGGGTACGATTTGTACAGCAGCGCGTTAGCGGACATTCTCAGTGAGCCATCACTTTCCACTCCAATTACAGTCGGCCTTTATGCAAAATGGGGCTCTGGAAAATCATTTTTACTCAACAAACTGAGAGGTACCACCAAATAACAGAGCTACTACAATGCTATTTAATAGTACTATGGAGTATCTTCTTACAAACTGACAACTGACTATTTGACAAACTTGAAGCAAACCTTTGTGAAAGTATAATAAATCATAATTTAACTTTAAATAAAATGTTACGCTGTGACAATTCAAATTAAATTTCTATAGTCCAGAAGAGTCTTCTGTAGTGTCTTTTGGTATATCTGTATACACTTAAGTTATATGTAAAAATACTAACACTTTTACACATGTCTTTTACAGAGGAAATGAAGAACTTCGCGCGACAATGGATCGATCCAGTGTTCCAATTCTCGTCCTTACTCTTTTTAGTAATAGCTCACGTATCCCTACTTGTGGGTGTCACGTTAGGTCTCGCCCTACAGTCTTGGATCATTGGTCTATCGTCCGGAATAAGTTTGCTAGTTGTCGTTTATATTTTTCTGGTTCTCGTTTGGTGTGCCAACAAGAGGTGAGACTTAGAAAAGCAGCGATACGAGCCAAGTTCTATTAGTTTCATATCCTTATTGGAGATCTGTAATTGTAGGTACGATTGGTACTGGCCGTACAATCTGACAGTGGAGCTCACCACCAAGATGAACGCGCTAAAACTGCTATTGCAAGTGATCTTTTGTCACCCGCCGGGCAGTCAGTGTCACGACAGCATAGCGGTGCAGCCAATAAAGTTCTACTTCACCGATCAGACTCGCGTGGGCACGACCGCCGCTGGGGAGAACGCGGTCGTGCAAATGGTCGGCTCGCTGTACGATTCCATCGAGAACGACTACGGCTCCCTGGCTACCAGACTGTACAGGGCATTTCGGCCGAAGCCGGATAAATCGACTACCACGTGGAAATGGAGGCGTCTGTGTTGCTTGCCATACGTAATCATATTCGAATTCTGCCTGTGCAGCTTGCTCGTCGGTATCTCGATACTCACGGTGTACCTCATAGATATTTCGAACGATAAGTGAGTAATTATATGCCGAGCGTAAAGAACTTTTGCATAACTTGTCTTACGTGTTGCGTCGTTCTCTATTTAGGCCCACAATAGAGCGAGTTACTGCTCACATTATCATGATATCAATTGCCTTGGTCTTAGCCATCAGTATAATAGCGAATTTGTATACGTGGAGCAGAACGTTGCAGGCATTAGTTTTTTCACAGAGGAGACACCTTCAGCGTAGAATATCAAAATTGGAGACTCTGAAGAGCGAAGGCTTCATTCAGACTTTGAAAAGCGAGGTCAATTTAATGACGGAAATGGTAAATTACTTTTCCATTGAGAGAACGATTAGAACTTTACTTTCAACGGTGTAGCACCTAATTACGATTTCAAACAGGTCAAGTGCTTGGGCAGTTTCATGGCTCAACAAAGTAGACTAGTCGTAATAGTGGATGGTTTGGATAGTTGCGAACAAGATAAAGTCTTACTCGTTTTGGACGCTATACAGGCCTTATTTAGCGATAACGGATATCCCTTCGTCGTGATACTAGCGATTGATCCACACATTATATCTAAGGTAAGCAACTTTACAAATGAAAATGCGAAAAGATCGAGCAAACTGTAACGTCCATTTCAATTATCTTGAGTGATAACGGAAACTATTATTCGACACTGTGCGTGTAGGCGGTAGAAGTAAATAGCAGAAGACTATTCTCGGAGTCGAATATCGGCGGTCACGATTACTTGCGGAATATGGTGCATCTGCCGTTTTACTTGCAAAACAGCGGTTTGCGTAAAGTCAAGGTCGCGCAACAGACTGCTCAACATTGTAAGAAGACAGTGTGGACGGAAGCCGAGGAGAGCGTAAACTATACCGCGACTAGCACCATGCATCATTCGGTGTCCAGTAGGAGGCTCAGCACGGAATCGGCTATAATGAACAGCAACGAGAAATTAAAACCCCAAACTAGGAAGGGCAGTAGAAAGATGCGACTGAGCGAATCGATCGCCAGCAGTATCGGCAGTAATTTGAATCGACTGGGTGGCGCGCAGGATCTCAATAAAATGTTGCTCACCGATGATTACTTTAGCGACGTAAATCCTCGTAGCATGAGGAGATTGATGAATGTCGTTTATGTCACTGGTAATACGTTAAATCGTGCAATATCGCTGTGCGTGAGTCTATGTAATCATTCCAAGGTGTACATCTCGTTTGTCTTTCTCTTTCAGGACGATTACTTAAAGCATTCCAGATTGACTTCAACTGGTATCACTTGGCTAGTTGGATCAACATTACCGAGCAGTGGCCTTTTAGGACATCTTGGCTTATTCTACATTACGATATGTACGAAGAAAGTCTGGACGACAATATGTCACTGAAAAGTCTTTATGACAAGTACGTGAATTTTACTTCTTTCTCTTGAGTTTTTTATGTATTACTAATTTTTTTTATATTTATTAGGGTACGACCGCAAATTCCGGTATTGAAGGAAGTGCAGCCGCTTCTCGAGATAGACAGAGACGAACGCAAGTTGGATGTTTTCCTCACTTTCCACCGGTCCAGCTTACTTATCAGCGACATAAGGATATTCTTGCCTTTCACTATCAATCTGGATCCGTACATTAAGAAAAAAATTAAGGAGGAGCAGCAAAGTATAGAGGAAGACACAAATCTGTTTTACAAACAAAGTGGTGTTTGGCACGGCCACGGTGTTCCGATTGATCAATGGCCTCCACAAAGAGGCATGTCGACGAACCGACATATGAAACTTGCCAAACAATCGAGCTTACAGGGATCCATACCGCCGGCTCCATCGTGGACTTATCAACCAAACTTCGAATGGCAAGCTCCACCGGCTTGGATGCAAATGCCTCCCATGGAACCAATGTCAAAACCACTTTCCGCAACAACCATGTTACCTGTATGCTATAAATTAATTGTCCAACTATGTCTTGTGATTGAAAAGATGTAACTTATTCGCTTCGTCTTTATTCACAGTCCGAAATTCTGGAAATAAAGCTGTCATCCTTATCAGTGAACGGAGTCTGCGATCTGATCGACAAAGTAGAAAGCCTTAATTCGATCCAAGCACCAATATATAAGCAAGCCATAAAAGAGAACAATATTAACGGACGAGTTTTGTTACATTGCGATCTACAAGAACTGAAAAAAGTAATTTAAATGCCTGTGTCTTTACATTCCGAGACGAGAAAGTTCTAAATGTATGTGTACTTTGTAGGTATTTAAAATGACCTTTGGGGATTGGGAGTTATTTCGCATGGTAATTGTATCGCTACGGGAAATGGAGCTCTCGTCATTTTCGTACGAGGAGGGTTCTCGGAGTGTACGATTCACCGTAGGATCCGAGCAACAAGCTTCACGCAAAGGTACATTCGATATCTCCTCTTCACTTGCTTCTTATTCAGCTTGATCACTCTTATCTGTTACAGATCATGCCTTGCAAAATAATTCGATACGTGTGCCTGCTCACGTGGAGAAAGAGAAAGGAACATCGAGAACCGATGGGTCGACTCGCCGTGATCAAAATAAACAATCTATAATGGAAAAACAGGTATAATGTATAGATATTATCAAATGCATTTAAAACAATGATCGATGTAAATCGTAATTGTAGAAATTTGCAAATTGCTATCGTAACTGAAAACTTGTAAAAATAAATTTTCATTTCTTTGCATTTGCTCTCGGTACCAGTTCCAGGTAAGACAGCCGCTATAATTATTCTGAAAACTAAACAATTTCAATATATAATAATTTTATCTATCTATGTGTCATACATAACAAATAACTGCTCGCTGTGACTATGCTACAGTACGTATATACGTTTCAGGTAACGTTAGAGGAACAAATGATTTGCGGAGCACTGCAGACCTTGAACGAAGAAGCTTGCGAGGATGTTTTAGACGTGCCATCGCCAGCGGTGGCACCAACAACAGACTCACTCCCCTCAGGTGAGCCTACCACTTCCCTACCACTTACACTGCCTCTGGTAATAGTGCAAGAGCCACCGCAGCCTGACCAAAACAGTGACACCTCCGCCGAATACAGTGCTAACTTTAGTCAAATCTGAAATAGGACGACTATAGAATGATGTATATATCCGTCAAATAAATCACTCGCGTTGCGCAAAAGCAGAGACTTTTTCGACCTAACTTCCACCGAAATGCGCAACGACCAGGCATCGTTAATCATTAGAGCCCGGATTAAAGTTCTGAGATCGCGTCGACCGTAGCCAGTTTCTCCCCATTGTTACTCGCCGTCGCTCCTCCACCATCGATGCTGCGCCGCGCGCCGCGGCCTTAGGCGAGTGGTAGTGGGGAGAGCTGTGAAGAACGTGCTACGGCCGACTCGAATTGGCACATCAGCCGGTGAAAAATCCGGGCTCTAGTTGTCATTGCATTCAAGGACGGTGCTTATCAGTTTGTGCTATTAAAATGCTTAACATACTTCATCCTATTCGCGATAGTTTTACTTGTACATCTGTATGTTCGTAGAACACTATTTGACAGTATTACCGACGAGAGATGTACATGTATGTGCAATGGCAGTCGACAAACCAAATAGTGATTATATGAATATACTGTTACTGTAAGGTCTCATTTGTAAGTTACAAAGTGAAAGGCTATCGTCTGTAGAAACGCGTACAAGGTTTTTCCTTAAAGTACTCACGTGCCAAAGCGAGAAACCAGTCATACATATCGCTCGAGGGAGGAACACAAAATGAAAGCCATTTGACGATTGTAATAGGATTACTACTGTATGCGTACTCATAAGATTAGTGTAATATAATGCTCATTTTATAAGCTAGTTTAATATCAATGTATATCGATGCCATATGAAGAAAAAAGAAACACAGAAAAACCCCTATAGTCGATATAATGTACGAGCATATTCTTTACTGCATTTGTAAAATATATGATATAAAAAGAAAGGGAAAAAGGATGTCAAAGGCACTACTCTCAAAGTTAATCGTTCGGTGTTTGCTGTGGGCAATTCATGTACAAAAGACTGTGATAACGCATTGTTGACAAAACGAATATCTCGTGCGGAAACTGTTTACGCTAAACGAGGCGACGTGTAACAATGTATTATATTTTTAAAACCGTTGTACGTAAAGTGATGATACGTGGCGATGAAATTGAAAGTTGCGTCCTGTTACACCGGTCCACGTTACTTCCTGTACTATGTGTACACACTATAAATAATTATCGCTGGATTGTTAGCACTATGTTATGAGCAGTATTATGTTATTACGACAGCAAGTGGCAATAAAACTTTCTTGCAAACCACATCTGACATTACCTTCTTTGCAATTTGCATCTAGAAGCCTTCAGTTGTTATTATGATCAGTCGCGACCGCAAAGCATTTCAAAGATTGAAAATTGAACCGAGAGAATTTCAAAGAGGAATCGAAATATCTCTTTTACACCGACAACTCGCTAGATTCCTGTGTGAGATCTTATTTTTTTCGCTAACTTTTTAAGGAATGTATCTATTTCAAGGCTTACGAACCTGAGTGGCTTAATAATATATAGTCAATTAGAGAACAGGGTAATCGTATGGAGCAGATATTACATGAGCTTCTGTTTTAGGACCTGTCATCTCGGTACACGACACGGAATATGTACTGCTTCAAGCCAGCCCGCTGTTTCACTGGGCACCGGTTAACGAAGACCCGGGCAGCTCGGATGAGAGCTCGCACGACTCCACCGTGTTCCTCCAGCGTACCAACTCCCAACGCAGTGTCGCGTCTCAACGCAGTACGAGATCCGCTTGCTCGCACAGGGCCCTGAAGAGAAGCGGCAGCAACATCAGCACCAGACCATCCTCGCTGTTCGTCTCCCCGCCGGCGTCGCCGAAGCCTGCGATCAGGTCGAAATCGACCGACGAGCGGTGTATGGGGAATATAGCCCTGAAGACCACGTTGTCGTCGGTGTCCACCAAGAGACGCTCGTCCTTGACGTTAAATGACGAGGTGGTGATACCAATGCCCACTTGCAACGTGGAGAAGATATCGAAGCTGAAGGACCGTCTGCTCGGCACCACGCCGCGGTCACCAGCGCCCGGTGGCGAGAGCGACGACGAGTCCACGCCGCTGGTGTCCGAATTGTCCACGCCAACGCATTCCCAATCGGACAGCGTGTTCAGACACGACTGCAGCGCGGAGAACAGCAGCTCGCCGTCGTCCAACAGGAGTCTACCGCGGGACGGGGAACGTCGCGTGGATCTGAATTACTCCGATACCGTGAGCCTTGTGATACGCGAGTCCTCGAACGCTCAATCGCCGTCTCGGCACGACGCCAAGATCTGGGACGACACGGAGACGCCTGTCTGACACCTGTCGCCTTCTGTATATAATCATGATGCGACGCGAGATAACTCGTAGCGCGCTGTAGCGTTTAATTGATATCAATGTGACTGGCGTCTGCTAGGCAGACTCACACGACGTAATTCTGTTTTGACGATACGCATCGAGATAAGATGTCTGTCTCGTGCAAATAACCAACGGCGAGAACGAGCAGACCTTTTTGTAATAGTCAGAATGTTTAACTTGTTCCTCTGCTTAGTGGTCTGATGGAGAACGAATAATGCCTTCTCGCGTAAGTCGTGTAATAATCCCTTTAGTTTAGCGAAACGAGACGATCTCGAGATGTACGACGCCGAAGCGACATTCCGTGTAAATATTTATGCATTTACGAATGCAAATAGTTATCGACATTTTCCTTTTTATATTGAATTAGTACTGAATCTGTTGAAACGAGGGAGATGAGAAATATTTCCCGATGTTTAGTACCAAAGCATCCTGTCCCCAATAATCAACGAGTCAATTCGTAATGCCAGTGCAAATAGATAACTTGAAGAGTATAACGGATAAAGAGAGTATTTTAAAGAAATAATAATTCAAACGACCAGTACATAATCGTTGATTAGATCACATATTTAATGTAATTTATAGAATTCTATCTATAATTTATCGAGCGAAAGAGTGCAGAGTGTCTCAAAAATGACTTACACAAACGGCAATTATTACTTAAATCGTATTATATTGACCTGCAAAACATTTTTATAAAGACTTTTATTAGAATATTGCAGTATGGACATTTTTCATTAGGTGGAATATAATCGACTTACAATTAGTATTTCTTCGTTAATTTCGGTATACTTCTTCTTTCTCCAATTATTAATTAATACAATATATTGCATTAATAATCACGGAAACATAAGCAATGTATTAATGATATATTTATTTTATTAAAAGACAAAAATTATAACTACATAATATCGAATGTGTAGGACACTTTAGGACGGAATACATCAGGGTATTGATCATTCATTATAATATTGTGTATATATATATGTATACATATATACATATACATATGATGGTAGATATATTAGATTTGAAAATACAATATATATATACGCTCATTTCTTGACTCTAAATACAATAATATTTAATCAAATACAATACATTGCAATAATGTTAAATACTGTATACAATACACTTAGACTTACGGAAACGCAACATAAAATTGAACCAATTGAAAGGAGGACAAGCGCTGCCTCCTCCCATTGTAACAAATGATTGCATGATAATTAAATACAGGGATGGTTCCGCTCGTAATTCAATGCATTGTTTGTATTAAGTGTTATGTAAAAACGTCATATCACTTTATAAGCAACAGCTATGTCCTCGTTACACGCGATAATGGAATCTTAAAATCATACACGTTTGAACTGGAACATCCTCTATACATACATATAAAATAATGACATAGCGTGGTGATATACACATGATATACACGTGTATCTATTTTGATGCGTATCAAAATTATGGCATATAGAAAGAAGAGTATGAGAGAGAAAGGAACAAATTACGAAAAAATATCTCAGGATAATAATCTACATATATATATATACTCTGTTATATATACATAAAAATTCGATTTCATAGTTTCATAGGCATGGAATAGTAAATACGAACATCTCTATAGCTGCATGTTTCAGGCACGAGTTGTGTTTTACCTAAGACTGGCGATGATTCGCGTATCAATTCTTTGTTTACCTATCGATTATTGTCATCGTTATAATACATAAATACATTAAATCTCAAAAGGAGTGGATAGAATCAACGTCATCAATTGACCTGACTAATTAGCGAATCTATAATATCTTTACTGACAAAAGTGTTCTCAAAAGTTTTGGTCAAGTCTATTTATTAGCGATTATTTATATAATTTATACGATATTGTATAACGGGAATGTAATACTTATATTTTTAATCAGTCACAGCGAATATAATTTTTTCGTTTTTAATATTCGCAAATTCATCTATCGCACGTTAAATTGAAAGGCACAATGGCTGCTAATATAAAAGTGCTACCTTATAAATGCATAGGCTTTATATTTAGACGCGAGCAATACACGTTGCCTCACGAAATATGTAGGTCTGTTCGTCTTAGCTGCGCTCTATTACTTTCCATAATTAAAGAAAACGAAGTACATTTGTCCTGTGCAGGTAGAAATATAAAATTGCAAAAAGAAAAACAAACATAATAATAGTGTGTTTAACGCGAATAGACCTCGTATATGCACTTTGTTATACATGTTGGCAGATTATAAGGACACTTGTCTTATCACCACATAAAGCATAAAGTAAATGCATCGTACAATTAAGGAATGTTCGCGATAACGCTATCAACAGAAAGCTTATCTCATTACGCAAATTCTCCGTCGGCATATAAAACGATATTAACCGACAGAAAGATATCCTAGCAGTGACTTAAGCAATGCCTTCCTAAAAATAGTACTCTGTTTTTATATTTAAGTACACATCTTAGGACCCTTTCATAAAAACTATTTTTTTAACATGTAGGCTTTTACATGTCCAACTTTAATTGTCACAATCGTCGTAATTGTCATGATTAACATCGCGCACTTCGTAAAGTAAGTAAAAAAAAAAAGAGGGAAAGATGTTGGCAGTTCGAGGAAGACCAAAGTAAATATGTGTGTATATATACGTTGGTGCTATTTTCTCGCGCGTTGCACATCGACATTATTTCCCCTTTGTAATATTTAATAAATATTTTATAACTGTGTGGTAATTACCGTCTTTCTCGTGATTATTGTATGCTTAGTTGGTGTTTGATCAGGTGCTGGGCTTTGCGACGGGTCCGCTACCAGCCAGGGACTAATGTCTGACGCCGCTTGACTCTCGTCCTGCAAAACCAGTCTCTTAGTACAATCTAAATCAATTTTTCTCGGTTACTAATGTAATTATTTTCAAAAATTGTCACGTTTAATTGCAATCGCATAGAATATTAATCATTTGTACTGGCTAACTTTAACATTTTAATAATTTAAACAACGAACTCAAAAAATATTACTTTTTACACACACACACACAGAGACGACTTTCACGTGGGACGCAAAGCAAATTCGCATTACGCTTTCGCCGACAGAACCAACTCGCTTTTAGAATAAAATCTTACTATCCCTTTACGATGAGCGCCGAGTGATGAATCTCTCAGATTCGTTCTAAAAGTGAGTTCTCGGTGAAGTCAGGGCGTTTATGTAATAGACGAGACGCTGGCCTGCAAGCGCATAAAATGCAACTGACCTTGTGTGTAAGTGTCGTAGTGGTCGTTTGTATCTCCTCGGTTTTAACAACCCGCGCACTGGCTTTTTCTGTATCCGCCTCGACTTTTTTCTCTGTCGTAACCGGTTGTAAATCTTTGAAGGGGTTGAGTATGCCCAGGAACGGATTCGAGTCTATGAACGGATTGGTATTCTTCTTCGTGTCGTCTTCCGATTTCGCTTCCTCCTCGGAAGCCTCGGCCGTGTTAGACGCGTCATTGCTAGTATCGTTAGTGAACGGATTAAAAGGATTCTGCGACTGGTTCGACACTTTCGGACTTAACGGCGTGGTCTTTTGCTCGATCTGTCCCCAACTGTCCAGTGAAAAATGCGTCACAGTTACGGCGTCGTCCACGGGATTCACCGCTGTCGTCGCTCCGCTCACGGAGAGAGTCAGCTTGTCGCCGCCCTATTCGATGAAGAAAGCAAGAAAGCAAACACATTACAGCTGGCAGCTAGCGATGTAAAAGCAGACGCAATAAATTATGTAAACGCAAACAACGGAGTAATAATCTTGACAAAAGTATTGCTCAATAAACTGCCAAGCCTTGCGCAAACTCTGTCATACGACGTTCGACAATACGTAATGCAAAAGATATAATTATGTTGCGGCAAAGATGTTTTGAATTTTAAGAGATGTAAAATGTAACGAGAATACGTGTAATCCTTGTGTACAAAAGACGGACAATTTAAATGATCCAAGCGGGACAGAAAACTATAAAGATAAGGGAAAGGCCGATGGCAGAGAACGATCCGTAAGCGCTTAAGACTGTCTTAGATCGTAGACGTAAGGCAAGGCAGAGAGAAACGTAAGTCGTATACAACAGCCTTTCACGACTTACGTTTCTCTCTGCCTTGTCTTACGTCTACGATCTAAGACAGTCTTAAGCGTTTGCGGATCGTTCTCTGCTATCGGCCAAACTATAGGGCGGAGAGTCCAACGATGCTCACCACGGAAACGATAGTCGCCGCATCCGAGTGTTGATTCTTCTTCGCGGTCACTCCAGTGCCGTCCGTGGACGTGATGGAGACCAAATTCGAGTTCTTTCCCTGCTCGAGAGTCGCCTTCAATATATTACACTTAAGGGATTCCGGCGGGATCGGCGTTCGCGGTGGTAACGACGACGTGCCGCCCACTTGATTATTGGGCACCAGCTGCACCTGATTGGCGATAGTCTCGACCGTCAGGCTGGTCTTCATAGGCTCCGACTCTTTCTCGCTGCTGCCGGCCGTCGCCTGGTTCCTGGCCTCCAGTGGTTGTTGATCTTTGGCAAGGGACTTGAGCAGGGAATCCACCAAAGGCGACGACGTACCCTGAACGCTCGAGGAGTCCGAAGACTTTGTACTAGATCGACTCGGCTGACGCTGCAAGGGTTCTTCGTCGGCTGAAAATATTTATGAGACACGTCCTCAAAGAAGGAGCTAAAGGTAATATCTACTAAATACGATAGACGAAATTATTGCCGACGATAGTTTACGTGATTTTTTTCGTACTAATTGTGCCAAGTTTCCCTTATTGAGGGAGTATTTTTTTAATGTCTCGATAAAAATCTTTTCTCTTTTAAATATTCTCAAAGTACAATATTTTGTTGTTTATACGCTATCTATCTTTAAAGTACAGCTTGCGAAAATTCCCTCTTTAATGAATTAAATGAGGCTACGAAGTGTTATTGTCTCGAAATGCGAAAGTTATCCATTATTATATTAATGAAATGCTGTCCCAGCGAGAAGTGACTCGTCAATCGATGTCGCGAGGTCGATTCGACGAACCATTTCTCAACGGGGCATATTCCAGATAGCTCACCCGGAGGCGGAGATGGCTGCGGCTGCTCCACTTGCTGCTGCTGACGCTGCCGTTCGCGAAGAACGTGACTTTGCCGTCGCGCATACCTCTGGCTCGGCCGTCGCTCGAATTGCACGGTGCGGCGCGCCCGATTCAACTGCGTCGTCTGAAACTCCGTCTTGCCGCTGTAACGGAAACGCGAGCCCATGCGGAAGAAGTTTTGACGGCCGCTGGCGCCCTTGACCGGCGCGCGTAGACGGAAGAAGGCGTGATGCTCCACCGCGCACTTCCACAGATGCTTGCAGGCCTTCTCGTTCACCAGCCTGAACACGAAGGTGTGCTCCTGCTCGCCCCTGCCCTCGTCGTCCTCCTCGACGACCACCAGCGTCAGCTTCTTCTTCTTGAAGTCCAGACGGCCGATCTTCGGCCAGAAGAACAGGCCGATCTTCTGCGTGCCCTCGAAGACAAGTATGCCGGTCGGGGTCAAGCCTAGAGAGTACTCGCAAGCGTCCTTGCCAAGGACGGTGTGCATGTCGACGCCGTACATGTCCAGCCACTTGGCCTTGCTGAGATACGCCGATTCCGCCTGTGCCGGAGTGAGACCGGAGCACTTGATGTACTCCTCCAGGATCTCCAGCTCCATCTGCTCCGTCTGGCTCGGCACGAAGTGGAATTCCGACACGGTCGCGGCGCTGTGCATAACGGGATCGTAATCGCCCAGTTCGGCTAAAATGAGAATGTCACCTTTCAATCGCGCGCCGTACCTATTTGCCGTATACAGCGAACAGCCGCGGCAAGACGGCGAGCTTAATTTTCGTCAGAGGCACCGCTCGAACTCACATTGAAGAGCCAGAGCGGCTAACTGGACCGCGACTTGATGAGGACAGTGGAGCTTGCCTTCGAGGCAGTCTTGTTTCAATTGTAAGAAGAACTGGTACCGCGTCAGCTCCTCGCGCAGCGTGTTCGGTTCCGAGGAGTAGAACTTTACTTTCAATCTAAGCGTATACGGCGGCCCGACTAAAATAACACAGATCAGTTACACCGGTTTAACGTTCAGCTTACTTTCGCGAGAACTTTTCAGAGCGGCAGCGACGCATACTTTTAACTTGCTTTTTGATAGGTTTCGTTGGATCCAGCCAATGTTGGACGTTATTGCTATCTGTATATTGGAGTCCGAAGTAATCCTTCTCGATCAAATCGAGGCTATAGAATACTTGCTCGTACAAGTCGTTAGCCAGCGCTTTTTTCTGCAAAAAGAAGAAGGCCAGCGGTTACGAAACGTGGATGTAAATGTGCGCGGACGGGACAAACGTTTCACGTGAGGGCACGAAGCGGCTTCTCCAGAGTCTCTGACGCCGTCCTCTCTGTTTATCTTCACCGGGCCATACGAAGACACGGGGAAAGACCAGGTTTTTTTTTCGACAGCAATTAAAGGCGAGCGAGACGGAGAAAGAGGGAGAGAGACGAGGAAACTTACCGACAGCTCTATGGGCAGATCCGTGCCATCCAGCAAGACCACTCTGCATTGCACGACATTCTTGTTGCTGGGCAGCCTCTGGTTCTTGATCTGCGACACTTGGCCGCCGACGCCGCGCGCCCTCCGTCGCGACAGGAACCGCAGCATCCTGGAGCCGCGCCGTCAAATCGGGACGCGCGACCGTCGAGCCGCGCGGACGAGACGCGATCCGCCCACTCTCCCTCTCTTCGCGATGACGCGGAGCGTGGCGACGCGAGGCGACGCGGCGCGGCGCGGCGCGATTACCGTTTGCGAAACTCGCGGATGCTGAAATCCCCGCGGCGTCCGCACCACGCGCGTCACATTCTACCGCATTCTACGGCAGCAACTCCGGGTATCACGCAGAGCGGCCACGCCGCACGGCAATAGGCGAGCACCACGCGACCACCCACACGCGACCATCCACGAGCGCGCGTGTGTAATTGTGTACGCCCGAGACGGCGGAAAGCCGAGACGATGAGTTTCGGAACGCGCTCGGGGTTTCGCGCGGGGTTTGCGCGTTTACGCAAGCGCAAGCCGCACGCGTGGACAGGTGTGAAAAGGAGGGTAATCGTTTGTGTGTACGTATGTTTATTCGTCGAAATTGAAATTTCATCCGATTACTAATACAAACAGCCAAGTATTATGTAGTTGTACATTATACTAATTGCACGCTTATTTATTTCATTGTTGCGATGAGTATTTTATTAACAGTTAAAATTCAACCGATTACTAATACACGCAGCTAATAATTATAGTTTTACATTATTAATTATATTCTTCTTTATTTTATTATCGCGATGAGTATTTCATTAATAAAATCAATCATCTTCAATGTATAACTGACATCTTAATCTCGTCAAAATTACAATCGAGTATAAAAGTATAAAATATTTCATTGATCATTT